CTTGGTTTGAGACGATAATTATAAACAAATTATGTGAGTTGTCATCTATGTGCTGGCCACGCATAGTTGATGATTTACATGATATAATCTGATGGGTGTGCGCGTATAAATTATTTTAAGGAATACGTTTATCTAGGATCTACTAATTATAATTTGTTTTCTGCACTAGTTTGATGACACTTTCGAAGGAGTGTGTAGTTTTCGAGATATTGATTTGGCGAAACAAGATGAACGGGTATCCACTGAAGAAATTAAAACGAATTTGCGGAAACTAAAGTTGAATCTTGGTAACAGTACAGCCCCATATACTAAAAAATTGCTCAAATATCTTAAAAAAATCAAACCTTCCAACCTTACGTGGAGAGACCCAGAAGCAAGTCAAGTAATTAGTAGTGATTCGAAAATTATATGGTGCTTATCTGAGGAGGCGGAAGATGAATATAACCATTATATGGAGCCAGTAAAATGTATGGAGGGAACAACTCCTCTTCGTATCAAAGATGTATGTAATGGGTTTGTGATGAGCTATAATAATACCATGTATGAGGAGGTGCCTATTGAGCTTTCACATGGAAATTGGGATGAGTCGGAAGAAGATGTTGTAGGGATTGCATCTGGAATTCTAGATACAATGTTAGTATAATACGTTTTTATTTTGGCACCACTTTATGCTAGCTCTGCTAAAAAATTATTTCTGTTATCAAAACTAGAGGAAGTATTTGGAGAAATCCAGCGTTTGGAGAGAAGTTTGCGAAATCTCAAAACGAAGGGACATATGTAATGGATATTATAGTTTCTGTAGTGAAAGCTTCATTAGAAAACCTATCAATAAAGAGTTTCGCCTTCGTTAGCACGTAAGTATAATATTATTTACTTTTTTTTGAGTAACCGGCATTTATTTACTTTACTTATGTAGAGCAGAACGACAAAGTATAGCAAGTAAAGATCAAAGGGAAAAGACTGGCAAGCGCTCCGATATTATATTCATGGTAAAGTGTGGGAGAAAATCTATGAATTGATGTTTGCCGAATGTTCTCATCTTTTTTGTGATAAAGATAAGGAAGAAAATGATTGGGTGAAGTTATGGAGAGAAATGAATGATGGCATGTATTGGGTGCACAAAGGTTGTAAGCCAAAAAAAGGTAAGTTCGGAATTATTGGGATACAAGTTGCTGGACAAAAGTTTTCACCTGTACGTTCTCATTCAGGATAGAGATGGGGTAGATAAACTTTTTAGACTACGTTCGGTAGATATCCCGGTACAATTCACAGATAGAGATACTGTATATAATTTTGTGGAGACACTGTTGCTATTACAGGTATGGATTTAGTTATTTATGCATGCTCTCTATATAATAGAGTATACTAAACTTTCTCTTTTTATAGAAAATCCTAATCATTAACCTATCTTTATTATTAAATGCGGATCGTGGTTTACATTGAGATAAAGAAGATAGTTCGACAGAAAGTTGTTTCTCTTTTTCAACTTGATCCATAATGATTGTAATCCCCTTGCGTACCTTTTCTTTTTCGTTTTCCGTTTTGACTTGAAGAAACAAGAAAGGCAGTAAAGTATTAAAAACAATTTTTTCGATATTTCTTATTACTGTGCTCACTTCCGATTCGCTAGCCTCTTGATAGATGGAAAAGGCGAATCCTGTTCCACAGCTTGATTTTCGATTTTTTTTCGTTGTCCGTTTTTGTGATATATTGAAGAATATCATATTTTTTTCGAATTTCCCACTCGTTCCATATTTCTCTAGTCAAAAAGGAAAAAGTTGTTTGATGATGATTTTTTTCCTGTGACAGCATTTTCTTAAAAACTTCATAAATGAAACTTCTAAACTCCACGAAAGGATTGGTAGGTTGATATTTTCGACATTTCGAACATAAGATTGTGTTTTTGCTGCTTCCATAATTTGCTTTGCAAAGAGTGCAGACTTTTGTTTTTTTCATCTTTTTGTATTGCTTTTTGTATGGGTTGGCTTCACTTCGCTTTTCTTTGAGAAGAGAACGATAAGCCTATTGATTTATATGTAATTCTTTAATTCTTAAATAAATAAAAAATTTAGAATTCAAAAATTTTTTTTTATTTCAATTTTTTTATAATATTAAGATTTGTATATACAGTATATTGCAAAACCTTTGAAATTTTATATACATGACATAAATATAAATAACTTTTTTAAACATATGAATAATATATTTTAACAAATATACAGTCTGGTTCAAAAAAAAATTAAAATAAAATGTGTTTATATATAGAAATATAAAATATATAAATATTAAAAAAAAATTTTGAATTTTGAATTTTATACAATTATAAAAAATTATTATTATTATTATTAAAATTATTTCAATATATAAATTAATTAAATATAAATTAATAAAAAAAATTTTTTAACTAGATAAATATTATTGTTTTTTTGTTTTTTTTTTGTATATTACAATTTATATATTGTAAAAAAAATAATATCTTTATATATTAATACAATAAGTTTAATATTAACTTATTTATAATAGTTATATAATTAATATTAAAAAAATTTTTAAATAATATATTTTTATTAGAAATATTCTTTAACACTAATTCTTTTATCAATATAAAAAAAAACAAATATTTCTTTATAATAGAGTTTATATATTTTTTCTTAATAATATTATTATTTAAAGACTTTGATTTTTTTTTACTTGATTTTTTTTTTTTTGAAATAAACTTTTTATATTTTTACAAATAAATATAAAAAAAATTTATCTATAAAAACAAAAATAAAAACATTTTATTAAGAAAAAAAACATATTAAAAAAATATTCTTTTTTTTTTAACTCTAAAGAAAATAATAATTTTTTTTTTAAATTTTTTTTTATTTTTTTTAAATTTTTTCTTTATTTTCTAAAGTATATATACTTTTTTTTTTATTTTTTTAAAAGATTTTGCTTATTTTGATTTGATCTTGAATTTTTAATTATATAAAAATTACAAATAATAATAAATTAATTAATATATAACAAAAAAATATAAATAAAATATATAACTCTTATATGTTTTATCTTATATAACAATAAATTTAATAATACTATTAAATACAATAAAAAAGCAAGGTGATAAGATACTATATTTGTTTTATTAAAAAATAATTTAATATTTTTTTTTCTTTTGTATTGATTTTATTTTTCTTCAAATTAAAAAAAATCTATTTCAATTTAATAAAAACTTTTTCTATTATTAATTATTTTGAAAAAATATTTAAACCATAAGTTTTTATAGTAACAAACAAATTATATATATCTATTTAAACAAATAAGTCTTGTTATAAATATATAGTAATTTACTAATAAATTGTGAATATTTGAAATACTAATTATATAATATCAAATAAATAAACTTGATACAAAATTTTTATTATGTATTTGATAAATCACAAAATATAATATATTAAAATTTTATATAATTTGATTAAATTGTATAATATTTCTATAAAAGATAAAACAATATACTTTTTTTATATTAAAGCAAAAATCAATTTTTAATTTTATCTTTAAAAAAATTTTTTTGTTAATTTTTTTTTCAAAACTGCTTATAATACTTAATAATATTAAAATATATAGGAAAAAACATGTTTGTATAATGAATTGACAGAATTAAATAAAAAAATATATGATTTTTTTTCTTGTAAACAATAATAAGTGACATAAAAGATTTAATAAAAAAACAAAAAAACTTTATAATTTATGGTTACTTGAGAAAATATTTGCTTTATATTATTGCAACCTTTATTAATTATAGCAAGCTGGCTATATAAAATATCATAAGAAAATTCTATAGCTTAGATATTTTTAAAATATAAAAAAAAAACTTTTATCTTAGATATTTTTTTTCTTTACTTTTTTTGATTGATTAAATTTAAAGAATTTAGTTACTAATAATAACTGTTATTTAAATTTTATTTAACTTATTAATTTTTTTAATAATTAAAATAAAATAACTTTTTTAAATTTTTTTAAAGTATTATACATTATACTTTATATAAAGCAAACTTGAGATTATATATCTTTATTTCAAAGTCATTAATTTTTCTAAAAAATATTAAAAAAAAGTTGAATTAGTTTTTTGAATATAAAAACTAATCTCTTTAGAAATTTAAATATATTTAATAATTAAATAAAATTATAATCTGTTTCTTACAAGATTCTTATAATTATGTTTGACATAAACCAAACAAAAGATAAAAAATTAATTGTATAAATTCTATTATAAAACATAGTCAAAGTCACATGTATTGAAATTTTTTCTTTTAATTTGACATTAGATCTTTTGTTTTCTTAAAATCCAATATAAGTGATATATTATATATTAAAATCTTCTAAAAATATCATAATATTTAATTTTATAACAAATTAATATCAAATTTTATTCTATTAAACTAATAAAAAATTTTATTACTAAAAATTAGATTTATATAATAAATTGGTCTTTACAAAGTTCAAATTGAAATCTAATAAAAAATATATAAGTAAAAATAAAAAAGTCAATATATAATAAAAAAAAAATCAAATAATTTTAAAAAATTGGATGCTCTTATTAAGAAGATATAGAATAAAATATCTTTTTTTTTTTTTTTTTTTTAATCTCAAATAGACATTAAATGCAAGACATTTATTTAACATACCCTTTGTTTATAACCCATTACAATATCAATCTTTATACACATTACAAATTAATTGTAGCCTATTATGATTTATATAGCCCAACTATGTAAACTTTTATATCTTGAAGGGGGTCCACATGTCAGATAGCATTACATAGGAGGTGGAAATCCTACCACCAGTTTAAACCACCTAACCTATTAATCCATTTTTGTTGAGGATGTCTAATAGGAACACATATTAGTACTTGGTAAACTATCTTTTTGCATCATGTTTTCAGCTCACACAGCTATAAATAGAGTTCAACATATATATGTACTTTCTAGTAAATGTTTTGAAAACTGCAATCCTTGGTTGGCACAAGCTACCAAATCTAAGGATATAAATATCAAGTGGAGTGTGATATCATAAATCTCCTAGTAAACACTTCAAAAAAATTTGATTGACTTAAGCTACCAAATCTAGGAACATAAATGCCAAGCAGGATGCAACTTCTACATACAGATAATATTGAATGAATCACTTACATCATACATTAGTATCTACATTAACGATCTTCCTTCAAGATTCCTTACTTCGTATTAACATGTTATGCTATGGAGTCTGCTGTACCAGGGAAGATGTGGGCTTATTATCGGAGTTAGACCAGAAACCTTTTCTTATACAACT